GGTATTTTTCAAAATTATACCGGTTTCACGGTACATGACGGTATTTTTTTTTTCATGCATGGCCAGGTGTTAACCATATTTTCTACTGATTGAGAGAGGAAATACTGCAGTATATTGACTTAGAATGCCCTATTTTACTGTCATGATGAGCGAATATTGTCAAAAAATACCACACTAAATAGTGACTAAACACGACCCCTTTTAATACATGTTAACCAGATTCACTCTCATTTATAATCGCGGCATCGTCTGATAAAATCAACATGCATCTACACTATGCGGTTGTTTTGGCTATATTACATTTTTGTCTCATGCAGCACACTGCCTGCGTCTGAGTAACAAACTAAAAAAAGTGCTAAAGTCGCGCTCGTGTGTGTGAGACGCGGGAGCTGATGGCAGGGGGCGGTGGATATTTGTGGCGGTCAATGTGGATATTGTTGATGAGTTCTTCTGTGTCATCACGTTCTATTAGTTCTACAGCTTCAGTTTCGGAACTTTCAAGCTTAGTAATACAGCTGTGCCCTCACCACAGTGCACCAGTGAAAAGGGACCCCCTTTCAAACAGTGTCGCGTTCCGAACGTTGTTTAAGTGACATACACCGGTATTGCGGTATTTAAAAAATTCATATCATAACAAAAATAAACACTCGGTAGTAAATATTCGGTATGAACCGGTATACCGCCCAGCACTACTAAATGTCTATGTCTGGTTGCTTTGTTGGTGCAAATTGTTGTTAGTATGAACACATATGTTACGTTGGAAATGTTACGTTGAACAGATTCATAAAATAATTCATAGAGTGGCATTTTTATTAAAAAAGCGGAATATTTTGTCGAATGCTGCTCTTTATTACAAGTTTTCGACTCATTTATATAAATTATGGTGTATTCTGCTTTTTGGTTTGCATTAAGTACACATTTCCCTGTTGATGTTGTCACTCCAATTAATTTTTTTTAGATGTTTTATGGTTCACCACGTGAAAATCGGTTCAAACTTGATAGCATCTCCTCTCCACCAGCATGATCTGAGGTCATGAGCAACACTAAGTGAATCTTAGCTTAGCAAGTAAATAAATGGAATGGAAATGCTCTAAAGAAAGCGCCACAGTCAGAATCCTACAGATGTCAGTGGACGGATATCAGTGTGAAATCCATCAGCGTGATCCCCGTAGTGTGGTGAGGAAAAACATTATTCTTTTGAAGACACATCTGTCTAATGTCTTCATAGAGAGCCGTACGGCGGCGGAGAACATCAATATGCCATGGCAACCAGAGGACTGCTTTTCAAAGCTCTCTGTTGATGCTCAACACCAAGGATGAAAATGCTCTCCTGAAAGCTCTTGCCGCACATTCATAAAACAAAATATTCACATCGTAACTCTTCAGATGATGGAGAGGTTATCTGGGAACATCCTGAAGGACTACAATACATTACGAACTAGACGTGCCTGCTGGTTCTGTCCAGACTCATCTACCCATGGTCACCAGCAGAACCAGACAAGAGCGCAGCACTGCAGAGGAAAGGAAACAGTACCCAGCTAAAGCAATTATAGTTCAGCAGTCACAAGCCATTTCAGACACCATTCACTAAAACGACATACTTCACTGGAGATGAGAGACTTCATATAGTGAGGTCTGAAAGTCAAAGATCCCAATCTGGGATTCAAAACTATTTAAACCAAGAAATTCAAAAAGTTATATAATATGTAAAAAATGTTATATGTATATAATAGTTTTAATATATACATTATAAAAAATATTACTATATCAAATATTAAACATTCATACCTGATAAATTGTTATATAATATAATTAGGGCTGTCAGTCGATTAAAATTTAATCTAATTAATTACATGATGTGTCGATTAATTAATCTAATTAATCACAAAATAAATTTAACTGTGAAAATACCCACAAAAGATCATTTAAAGCTATTTTTGTGTTAAATTAGAAAGTATCAAGTAGACATTACAAATTGTATACATTACAAATAAAATAAATATTTCATTTGATTCAACATAAAATGGCCTAACATAAACTATGGAACATAAAAGATCATTTGAGAAACATCTCAGTATTTTGTGTTCATACAATGAAAGTCATTGATAACCAAAACAGCTTTGTTACCGACAGTCTTCAAAATACCTTCTTTTATGTTCCACAAAAGAAAGGTTTGAAACGACTTGAGGGTGAGTAAATGATGACAGAATTTTTTTTGGGGGGTGAACTATCCCTTTAATGTTATAATTATTATTATTATAATTATTATTATTATTTATGAAATTATACTCTTTATAAGAAACTTAATCTGCCAGCAGGTGGAGGTAAATGTCTTCATTCGATTCGTTCAAACGGCTGATTCATTCAGGAATTAAGTAAATGGCTCTTTTTATGAATGGGCCTTTAAATCATTGGTTCGTTCAAAACGCGGATTCATTCAGAAACAAATTACCACTGTGTTGCTCAGAGACGCGCAACAATTCTGATATGGCTTTAAATATAATATGTTCTCTGCAAAATTGTGCAAAAACACATAATATTGTGTTTAAAATATAACACAATATCAACTTCTTATTTACTGAACTGGTATATAATATTACATTTAAACTCGTGAGATTCGGGATAAAATAAGCACTCGTGTAATACTGCTCTCCCTGCTCGTGTGATATCATATGATAAATATGAGACAAAAACTCATACAGGGGCATTTTTTGCACCAATATCTTACATTTTAGGGCATAACTGCATTTATGGAGTTGTTGCCCTGATACATATTTGTCAAAAGTTAACTGTATGAAATATAAGATGATGTACAGGTCTGGGGGCAGGGCCAGTGCGTTAACTGCATTAAAATATTTTAATCACGTTATTTTTTCATAACGTCTCGGTTACGTATGTAACCCTTGTTCCCTAAAGGAGGGAACGGAGACGTCACGTCGGTGACCGACAAATTGAGATCTCGCTTAGAGAGACCAATCCACTTCGAGTGTAAACTAAACGAGCCAATGTACATTGGAGATGAGATTGGATAACACTGGGAAAACATACCCGTACCACCTGGAACAGGATGAGTTTGCTAAGAAATGGCAGAAGTCTGCCGGGGGGACTCGGGCTCTGAGTCTATAACGTGGACTTTACACATATGGGATCCACTTACGTCTCTACATATGGAACCCAGCCCTCTACCGGTTCTCACGGATTCATCGAGTGAGGGCCTGGTGTCGGATGTTCTGCCACGTCTGGCTGCCGAGGGAATGAAGGAGCTCGACAGGGTCTACAGTACGGACACTCTGGAGAAGTTTTAGCAAGCCGACACTAAACCGGGGCCTCTCAGTGCCTCTACCCGTTTGAGGTGAGAACACAGGA